ATGTGCAAGGAGAACATCTTTGGAAGCAAAACGACGAACACTTTCTGTGGAACACCAGACTACATTGCACCAGAGATTCTCATGGAGAAGAACTATGGCGTGTCTGTTGACTGGTGGGCACTCGGAGTACTCATGTATGAGATGATGTCTGGCCAGGTGAGTGTACATGTATGTATGTATGTGTGTGTGTGTGTGTGCACCCAGAGTTTTGGGGATTTTAGGGGGTGTCGGCCGTTGGGCGGTTCAATAGCCAATTGAGTCATCTTTCCAAGATTCCTTTTGAGTCTCCCCTCTCCCGGGGAGACCCACGTGACCAGTTTTGGCAGTGAGCAACAAGTGTGTGTGTGTGTGTGTGTGTGTGTGTGTGTGTGTGTGTGTGTGTGTGAGTGAGTGTGTGTCTGTGTGCGCGTGTACAGGTGCGTGTGCATGAGTTCATGAGTGAGATTGTAGACCCTGAACCCACAGGTACAGTGAGTGATTAAGATAAGTTAAGTAATGAAGGCAGAGTGCCGGGCAGCACGTAGCTCCATTCTCATACCTGCATACACTCTTAGGTACGAGCTCTTGATGCTGCCTAGGCACACTGGAGTAAAGAACTGAATGAATTTCATTTATTCTTTTTGTCTGAAATCTCCACAGCCACCATTTGAAGCGGATAACGAAGATGAGCTCTTTGAATCCATCCTCCACGATCCCGTGCTCTATCCGCGATGGCTGTCCAAGGAGGCAACGTCTGTCATCATGGGGGTAAGAGGAGCGTGATTCCCCTCGTACCAATTGCATTATCTGTTAGCCTGTCCAGCGTTGAGTTGCCAAGGCACTTACAAGCAACGCAGGAAGTTGTTTGTTGGATAAAGGATGGCAGGATGTGTTTGTTGGATAAAGGATGGCAGGATGTGTTTGTTTAGAAACCAGTTGATTTGGTGCTGATGGCAAACTGACCTTTTCCCTGTGTTGGCCAATACCCAGTTCCTGGTAAAGAATCCCCAGCGCCGCCTCGGCTGTGACGAGACTGGCAACGAGGACGCCATCAAGGCGCACATCTTCTTCAAGCCCATTGACTGGGTGGCTCTGGACAATCGGCAAATACGCCCACCGTACCGGCCACTGGTGGTGAGTTCTTCGAGTATAGCATGAGCCAACAAAAGAGATATTTTACTCGTGCAACATTCGGGATAGAAACTTGGCATGGTATAGTTTACCTGAAGATGGCCAAGTGCTGATAATGCGATAGGTTGTCAAAGTAGAGCTGGGCGATTCTGATTTTCAGTATCCGGAGGGTGAGTGAGGGATGGATGTGTGGACCCTGAGGAGGGTGGGTGAGTGGACCCTGACGAAAGGGTCACATGCATGCCATCGCCATACAACTTGACCGCTTGAGTTCCTGGACGCACATTTTGGCTGCAGTGTGAGCAAGTCCTACGCATCCACACATGTATGCCACCACCCTCAAGGAATAACGGTTTTCTACCTGCTAACCGGGGTGTGTCTGCAAAACTGTGTGGTGGGTCATTTCCTGCAGAGGAACAAGACGGATGTCGCAAACTTCGATCCAGACTTCACACGTGAGAGGGCAGTGCTGACGCCTCCCGCTGACAGGAAAGCTATCGATCAAATAAACCAGGAGGAGTTCCGGGAGTTCGACTTCGTCAACCCAGTCTTCTCTGGGAACGAGATGTGAGAGAGACCGCGACAATCTTACAGGCTTGTCACCACCTACAGCATGAAATGGAACGAGGACAGGACTCGGCCCAGCAAGCACTAAGTTGCTCGATCCTACTGTTCTGCAACCTCTGCAGTCTCTACGAGAACACTGGAGGATACAACGGATGATGAAGGGACTGTACAAAATGGAGGACGGATTACTACATACCGACGACACCTGTATATGAATAATTATAATGATACGCTTTGCATGAATCAATTGAGTAGCTACACATTCCGTAAGAGCACAGTGGAGAGAATGTACCGTCTGCTGCTACACAAGTCGCCCTTCTCAATAAAATAATCACCAAGCGATGCAGCAATAGCATGCATGGCAGGCATCATTCAAGTTGACAACCGCTGGTGTTTTTTATACCTACAGTCCACGGATAGCTCCTGAATTTTGATTTTTTTAATGTATTATAATTATAATGATTTTCTTGCCAATAACGCTCTCAATGCAAGACACCGTTAGCGACATAAACATAATGAGAACTATTGTATGTACAAGCTAAGCAATCAGGACCTGCCCCAAATAAATAGAGCTCCAATTGAGGCAGTTGCCACGTGGAATGAGAGCCGAAGAAGCCCACCTCAGCATAAGTGGTGTTCGTAGTCCTGTTACGAAGTGAGTGAAATATTCTCCTCAAACATGTGTTGCAAGAGAAATTGCCAGCAGTCACTGTCAGGAATTCATTGGGACAGACATGGTCTGTCCTAGAAATCGGATGTGGGCAACACGGCCTTGTGGCACTAGGTCATATCACGGGTTATCTGGCACTAACTAGTATCAGCCAGCTAACACATGCAACCTTAAAAAAGAAGAAGAAGTAAGAAAAAGGGAGTGGCGTTATCTATCCGGTTTGCTAGATTCCTTCTTTGGCAAGGGGATGATGGCGACACGGTTCTTCGCTTTTTTGACACTCCACCAGCGACCTAACCTGTGTTCTTGCCCAACGCCAGCCACTAGAAAGTCACCCGATGAGGAAAACGCTAGGCTGTTGACAACACCAGTCTGCAAACAAAAAACAAAACAAAAAACAGCAACAGCAGCAAAGTGAAATGCCTGCATCTTGATGATTGTTCCAGGCAACATTTTCTCAGAATCCACCACAAAATAAATATAATAAATACTATGGCAAGGAGACAAAAAACTAGCAAGTTTTACAACGAGATGGGTTACAACGTAGAGCAACACCAGAGAAGCGGTCAGCATCTGCTATGAAGTAAGCAGCACTCACCACAGGCACAGAGAAGATCTCCTGCATCTTCATGAAATGTTGCGCGCATTTCCAGAACTTGATACAGCCATCCATTGAGCCTGCTGAGAAAAACAAGACGAACAAGACTCTGAACCATTGGCAATGGCCTAAGCACATACGACCCATTCCATACTGTAGAACACTACCCAAGGTCTTGTTTGCACGATTCAATACTCACCACAAGGCTTGCAAAGTCGAATGCAAATACACTGGAGTCAGATGGGGTGGAGAAGTACATTTATCTGAACACGTACAGCTCAACTACTTATCACTTTACTTTGGATGTACATTAGACCAAATATGCATATGGGCATTCCTTGCCAGATTTGGGCGAAACGCGATTCTGGCATATCGATGCCAGTGTGTCAACTGGTGAAGTATGTAAAAAATTGCCCGGTGCTAGCTGAAATCGAGGGATTGCTTTTGTTCATATTTTAGCAAATGACTTTGTACTTATGCAAACGTGTGCGTATATTCGGATAAAAGCACAATGCACTTTTGGGTGCAAAAGTTCGGTGCAATAAAAACTGACGGTCGAAGATGGAGGTGCACCTTATTACGCTGGTGAATACACTGAAACTATAATATTATTACAGAATTCTCGCCTACGAAAAGCACGTTACCTGACACGACGAGATCGGAGTTCTGATAGGCAGACACGGCACTGATCCACGGGTGCTCCGACGACATTGAGTCCTCGGACTCGGGGACCTTGTGCGCGGCACGCGCCGTGAAGACCGGCTTCTTCTTCAAGAAGTTCCACAGCGATACTCCCCTACGCCACAGTGAAGCACACAACACGTGTATACTAGTGCCTTAGTTCAGTCCAGCAATAAAAATGACACAAGGTGAATAATCACATGCACAAGGAAGCAGCTAGCAGTGTACATGCATGCCCTCAGCATAATCATGTACTACATACATAACCAGCTCAAGTTTGGCGCAACGATCAATTTCTAGCACCCTACCAACCTACCAAGGTCAAGCAGAAAGCGCATGGGCAGCAACAAACATGCATACAAACTTGTACAAAAGCAAACTGAGGTTACGTTTGGTTGGTCACATTCCCAAATGGGAATCACTTGGAATCACTCGGAATCATTCTCGCCCGTTTGGTTGGTCAAAAAAGTGCATTAGGTTGGTCCCATTCCAGCATGGGAATCACTTGGAATCGCTCAGAATGATTCCTTTTGGGGAATGCTCATTCCACGTCACAGGCTGGAATGAGCATTCTCATTCCGCGATCGAATCAGATAATGGCCGGCACGGGCAAAGTTTTCTCCTGGTCGGAGAAGTTGACAAAGGACTTTCTGGAGATTTATTCCCAGTATCAGGAGAAGTTCTCGAACGTAAATTTCAAGAGTTTCTTTCTGTGGCAGGAAATTGCCAGGCTGCTCCGAGAGAGTGATGCAGATCGAAATGTTTGGCCGAGTGATAAGCAGTGCAACAATCGATTCAAGTCACTGAAATCAAGTTCGCAGAAGTACCTCGACTCGTTGAAGGAGACCGGAGCTGGCAAGAAGAGGAGGGAGCCGCCATTCCATAAAGAGATCATGGATTTGATCGGCAGCAGAAGCAGCGTTGTGCCCCTTCAATTGCCAGCTCCGGGAGCATCGTTTCGTCGATTGCCTCCTCACAACCGATTTCACCTCCACCCGCTATGCATACTTACGAAGGTAAGAACTAGCGAGCTCCAGTGTGTGGAGGAAACAATTTGCTATAGGAACTATCTTCAATGATACAATCAAATCAAATTTATGGTTGAGGCCGAGTATCCAAGTTGTACCAAAAATAATTGCAACTCATCATTGTATTTCTTTCCTATACTCTTTACCAGGTATTATGTTTATTTCGAATCCTTCAATGTTATGAATATTGGAACCTTTCAGGCTTGTTTGATTGAAGGGTGAAATCCGTGCATTTGGGAAAGAGTGCAGCCTTTGGCAATGATCAGAGCATTGTGGATAGTTTCAAACACTATATTCATGCAATGCAAAGAAATATTGAACAGTGCTGCCACCTTTTGTGTCAATCTACATGTGCTACATGCATTGGTGTTGAAAAGAGTTTTATCATATTTATTTGTGTATGGATTTGTCAGCTTGATTACGCACACACACGCATAGACTTATCCCTTCTTCTCCTCGTTTCTGCAGATGACGACGTTACCGACTTTGAAATGAACAATGATGATGATGACAATCGTGATACAGTCAGACCTCGCATAACCGCACACATCCGTTTTCCACAAAAATATCCGGATAGGCGAGGGAACCGGATAATCGAACACACATACTGTATGTAAGCATGGCATATGCTGTACATTTGTAACCAACTATTTTCTTCCGGATGGCGAGGGATCCGGATAAACGAGGACCGGATAAGCGAGGTCTGACTGTACAGTGGCCACTGCCCCGACGGACCCTAGGATCCCGACAACACCTGTCGCAGCGCAAGCCCCAACACCAGTCTCAACAACAACACCAAAACAACCAATAGTATCTGGCTGCGCCTCAAAGGCTCCATTGAAGAAACGAGGCAAGCGCCCGCCCACACAAAGTTCACAAATTCAAGAGTTCCTGAAAAACCATGAAGTAAAAGAAAGCCGCCGGGAGAAGGATAGAAAGAAGCGGGACAAGAAGAAGATGCGTATTATGGAGGGATTTCTTGCCACGATCCAGAATGCGTTGGGTGGCAAGAGAAAGAGGAAGAAGAAACGAGGACCGGATAAGCGAGGTCTGACTGTACAGTGGCCACTGCCCCGACGGACCCTAGGATCCCGACAACACCTGTCGCAGCGCAAGCCCCAACACCAGTCTCAACAACAACACCAAAACAACCAATAGTATCTGGCTGCGCCTCAAAGCCTCCATTGAAGAAACGAGGCAAGCGCCCGCCCACACAAAGTTCACAAATTCAAGAGTTCCTGAAAAACCATGAAGTAAAAGAAAGCCGCCGGGAGAAGGATAGAAAGAAGCGGGACAAGAAGAAGATGCGTATTATGGAGGGATTTCTTGCCACGATCCAGAATGCGTTGGGTAGCAAGAGAAAGAGGAAGAAGAAACGAGGACAGCGCCAGCATGAGTCAGAAAGCAGCAGTGACAGCAGTAGTGACAGTAGCAGCGACAGCAGCAGTGACACCACACACGCCAGTAGCCACTACAGTGAGCAATCTGATGCTGAAGAAGACTTATCAGTTTCTATCTTTGGGTCATCCTAATAAAGTTATTATTATTATTATCAAGAGTAGATAAACAAGAGTGTGCAACTCGCGGATGGGTTGGCGCACGGCGGAATTTTTTGTTGACGTAATCTTTTCGACGACGCACGCGCTGCGAGCCTTTTGGAGAGTTTTCCCTCGTGCACTTGGCTGGGCTTTACACTACAAGGTCGGTGCCCAGCACGTGCTCTCACACTGCTCTGCGGCAAAATCCGCGTTTCTCTGAAAAAAGGTGAAGTAAACAAAAAATTCCGCCGTGGGCGCAGATTGTGCAGGAGAGATCCGGAGTTGCACACTCTTGTTTATCTACTCTTGTTATTATTATTAGCTATTATTAGCTAGCTACAAGCGAGGGTCCCTGGTTCGAGTCCTGGTGGTGACAGTCAATTTTTTCTTCAGACTTTTCCCGTTTGTCTCTTTCCCTCAAACTAGTGAAGATTATTATTATTATTATTATTATTCTGTAATGCTTTAAAATTGAATCTGTTTTTTTTTTGCTCTGAACTACAGAGTAGGAGTAGGTGACTTGATAATTTTAACTTTTACTTGGGTTATTCTTTCACTGTGCAAGCGCTACACAAGTCACAAATTATGGCAGTTGTGCCTCCAATTGGCTCCCATGTAACGCCCAATCGGGACTGTGTTCTGCTTTATACATTACTTGTGCCGAAATAGAAGCCAAGAATGCCCTGAACGTTCCCATCTGGCTCCCAGTTGAGCCTCTATTGGGGCAAAATACGGACTCACAAATTATGCCAATTATGGCAGCTGGGGCTCGAATTCGGGTTCCCATGTAACGCCCGATCTGGCCCTAATCTGCTTTATTCCCGTAGCTATGCAGAAGACGTTACTTCAGTAACGTCTGGCGCTAGCCAGGGTCCACACAGCTTTAATTTGGTGTTTGTTTGTTTGTTTATTTGTTTGTTTGTTTGTTTGTTTGTGTCACGCCTGGCGCTATCCCGTATCTGTCCCGTACTGTACCGTACTAGCAAAGACAGCTGGCCCCGATATTTTTGTTTGTTTGTGCCATCGAAATGCCTGGCGCTATCCCGTACCTGTCCCGTACCATCAAGGGTACGGTACCAACAAGAGAATGAGTATATATGCGAAGTGTATCGGGGGAATGCATTCAGTGCTGTAACATTTTGTGTGGATTTGTGTGCGAGGCCGAGATCCCACTAGCAGGCTGGCTGGGCCGCCTGTCGACCAGCCCGGGAATCGCATGTAGGCCGATAGCATAATAATTATAACGTATATACAGTCATGTAGATGTATAGCAGGGAGTCATAATTATTATGTAAACGACTCCCTGCTGTATGGAAAGAAATACGAAGTAGGGAGACGAGTAAATACAATCAGAATGGATGTTAGTTGCCGTCAGTATAATAATAATAAGAAGAAGAAGAACGCCCGTGATCGGCAGAGTCAGCGCCGGTCCCAGGAAACGTCAGGACAGACATCCCGTCGACTCCAGAACGCCCGTTAACGGCAGAGTCAGCGCCGGTTCCATAGCTATGCAGAAGACGTTACTTCAGTATCTCATTAAAACGTTTTTGCAATACAATGATGTAGCTAATCAAAGGAAAAAGCATTTCCATCAGTTCTACCAACATGCACGATGAGCTAGGCAACAAAGCATAGCGCAGGGCCCTGAGCTTCCAAGCTCTCTCGTAGATTACATCTGCTGAAATAGTCAACCATGCCAAGAAAGACCCCACCTGGCTCCAAGATGAGCCCCGATTATGGCCAAATTGGGACTCCGTTCTGCTTTATGAATTACTTGTGCTGAAGGAGTAGCCAAGCATGCGCGGGAAGTCACCATCTGGGTCCCAGACTAGGCCCGGTTGGGGTCAAATAGGAACCATTTTACGCTTTATACATTACTTGGGACGAAAGTGTAGCCAAGCATGCCAGAAGGTCCCCATATGGCTCCCAGATGAGGCTCGATTGGGGCCAAATTGGGAGCATCGTCTGCCACCACCCTTCAAGGATCAAGGCGCAGATGCAGCTCCTAATGCGGTAGGAATGAAGAAAGGGAAATATAATGATGAATATAATAGGAAGAAGAATCAATTCTCTGTGGCAAACAACCATGCACACGCGCGCACGCTCACACATACACACACACACACATACACACACAGGAACATGCTTCTTGACGTAGGGCTTCGGAAAAGCAACCATCACTTGGCACCGCATAAGGAAAGAGAAACACAAAGCCAGGTTGGTGAGAATTATGCTGCAAGAGCGAAAAGGCACCAAAGCATTGGAGTAGGCCCGACGATTGAGACGAACATCACGTATCATGACTCCTGTGACAAGAAACACGCACGCGCGCACACACAAACACACGCACGCACACACACACGCACACACACACACACACAGGAACATGCTTGTTGACATAAGACTTCGGAAAAGCAACCAGGAAACTACAATAAAATACGCGTAGATGCATGACAAGCACGACATGAAGACCTAGCGCCGGATTACATTGCACACCTGGCCAAACAGCACCACACATGACTTACCAATGGTCATGATGAGAGGTAGGTGACGAGCTGTTGACGTCGCTGCTGAGAAGCCTGTTCTGCAGCAAACACAGGTGCATCAAGGGGAGCAGGGTTGTTGGCTGCCCCAGCGTTCTCGCATGGTGCTTGGAGAAATGCCACATCGTCAATGTCATGGAGTCGGCAAAAGTTGTGCAGCACACACGCTGCCACAATGATCTGCGGGTAGTACTCCGCACAGTCGAGGTCGATCATCTGTAGCTTCCTCCAACGGCACTTCAACAGGCGAAAGGCTCGCTCGATAACCTTCCTTGTGTCAGCGTGGGCATGGTTGTACACACCTTGCTGCCAGGTAAATGCATGACCACCTTGTTGTTTGAAAGGAACCATCAGCCAGGTCTCCAACGGATAGGCAGAATCGCCAATGATATATGTTTCGGAGGCAAATAGCAAAGGTTGGTGCGCTCCAGCTTCAAGGCCCAGCTCCGAACTTCGCAGGACACGAGCATCGTGCACTGACCCAGGGTATCCGGCAAAGCAGTTTGTGAATACCATCTCACTGTCACATACTGCTTGAACAACCATACTGTAGTAGGACAGACGATTTCCATAGCTGTCCATGTCGTCGCTTGGGGGCTTCACTTCCATATGAGATCCGTCGATAGATCCGATGACCCCGGGCAGTTTTGCAATCGCTTCAAAACCTTCCGAAACTGTCTTCACTCGTGCCCCTGTTGGCCATTTTATGAACTTTGGTGCAAGATAATTCACCAAGATGGTGCACACCCGACGAATGACGGTCCACACAGTCCATTTGGAGACACCAAATCGGTCCGCAACATCACGAATGCAGCATTGGTTTCCCAAAATCCATAGCGTAATGAGCAGGTGCTTCGTTGGAGTTGTAGGCACACGACCGCCAGCAATATGCGTGAGAGGCAGAACACCGTTGCAGTTTGCACATATTTCTGTCAGGAGTTCGAACGGGCCGCGTCTCATGCGGAAAAGCTCGTGGAAGTCCTTATCATTGAATAATGTCACTGTTAATTCCGTATAGTTCGCGATGCGTGGAACGGAGTCCCTTTTCTCCCTCAGCCCAAGAATGGCGAGGAGCAGCGGTACAAGAATATCTTCCTCGGCCTCATCATCATCGTCATCATCGTCCCAAAGAAACTCGAAAACAATGATCGGAAGAACGGCCAAAAGTAGTTCTTGGTCGTGTACATCCATGACCGGCAAGCTCTTGTCTTCAACAAAAAAAACAGCAGTGATTACTTTGATTTTTGTTTGGTGCACACGCGTGTACATGGTGGGTCACGTTCACTATGGAAACCTGGTGAGGTTTTGGACGTGCTGTGTTTGCCGCCATCCCCCGCTTTTTACCAGGCATTTTTGAGTTATTTTATCGATCGCAGAAAAATGATTCCGCACGGGACACGTTTGTTTGGTCAAGCGATTCCTACAACTACTGTAGTTGATTCCGGCGCGTTTGTTTGGTCAGGTGATTCTCACACATTCCCATTCCAGAATGGTTGTCATTCCCATTCTCAAAATGACCAACCAAACGTAACCTGAGTGAAGGCTTACCCGTCTTGTGAGCCGGCAACTCCATACTGCTCGTTGATCATTTTACAGCAATCGATTGATGCCCTGCGAGCAGCAGCAGAAACAGACAACAACACAAGAGAAACAGAAGCAACAGTCTTCACTCAGCAAGCACAAGTGGAGAATAGGAGTGCAAGACAATCCACCACACGTACTTCTAAACTAGAGATGTATGTGCTGCATGTCTACACATACATGGGTGGAACAATGATGTCTACACATACATGGGTGGAACAATGATGAAGACCGCCGCTAAAAGGAGTGTTCGGCCAAGCAAACTGATAGCATGGGGCACCATGGAGTGGGGGTTGTGAAATCCAGGACTCACTACCAGTACACAAACATGCTGACCCTCCTGGATCTATGCAAGCGCCGCTGTACATTTTTTTATCACTGACCTTGTAGATCATCAACAAGTATGTGAGAGTATTTGATTGATACGGTACCATGATTGTACTGGCCAAACAATAATTATCCCAAACAAACACAATGCAAACCAACTTACGTGTGCCCGTGGAAGATGAGCTGCGACTCCTCGGGGATCTTCCAAAGACGCACAGACTTGTCCGATCCACCGGCCGTGAATGCTCGCTCTCGGTTCAGCGAGTCGATGGCCATGATTTCATCCTGATGACCATACCTATAGTGGACAGCACAAAGGGGGAACCATGATTTTGATAAGCAGATGCAGTTTGACCAGTGTCAAAGATCATATCTACACATATTCGCTCCTTGAGCACGCAAACACACACACACACACACACACACGCTGCAAAGGCCATGCGACGGCATAATCATGAGACACACTTCATTTCCCAAGCAACTTGAGAACGCGATAAACCAGTGGAAAACGGGAACGGTGGTGTAGTACAGCAATACTATGGTCCGGCATTGCATAGCCAAAGCAAGGGCACAGTGAAGGAGCCAGAATCACTGTACAGGGACGAGGACCAACCATGTACTGTGTGTAGGTCTGGAACAGTACACACATGCAATGCAAGGCCTCAACTTACAGTGTTTCAATGTAGGCCATCTCGTCTAAATTCCACACCTTCACGGAACGATCGAAGGACGCACTGAACAGCTGGTGGGTGTTGTTACGAAACGCAAGGCCCTTTACAGACAAAAAGAAGAAGAAAACAAGCATACACAAAACTACACATCGCCACAGCACAGCAGCACTGCTTCTCCGTAGGCCTCCAATGTGTCAAGCACACCCGAGTGCAGGTGTCAAAAGAGAAACACAGACACAGAGAAGGAAACTTGACAAAGAAGAAGGGATAGTACAGCATGCACACGACAATACTGCGCAGTGTGACGGAATCCATGATTGTATTTCCCCATACACTGGAGAAGATCCACAATGCTGGAACAACAAAGAAGAGACACTACGCACGGTGGGTGGGCGGGGATAGTGTATTAATCAGGGGAAATGGTAACGATAGGACTCTTACCGAGACGGCCTTCTTATGACCTTTGAAGATTTTGACAAGTTTACAGTCAGCTACATTCCAGACCATGACGTGAGTGTCCTGACCACCGCTTACCTGACAAAACAGACAGACAAACACATACACACACGGGCGTGCACAAGCACAACGGTGTACCGATTGCGTAGGTTAGCAAGTCATGGTACACTAATGCACACAGTAGGCTCATTCACCACACCCTCACAATCGGTGAAATTCATATCAACAATTCAACGGCTCCTGCTGAATCTTTGGTGTTCCGGGACGGCAATACGCCGGCTAATCCAGACAGATGTGTCACGAGCCCAATACGAGAGGACTTTCCACATTACGGCATATAGGTATGTGTCAACAATAGGTTAGGGTAAGACAGGTGGAAGCACTACGTGTAGAGATGCCATTCCTATAGCAATACAAAGATCAAGAGCACTGCTAGTACTTCGAAGTAACAGTGTAAAAGCCAATGGAGATGACGCAGGCATAACAGGATATTCACACAGACACAGTATGCTAGTGAGCTACAGACCATGATTGTGTACAACACATGTCCTCAGAACAGGCACAGCAAGTAGCAGAACTTACCAAGTACTTTCCACTGCTGCTGACGGCTAACGCAAACACATGTCCACGATGACCCTTGGGATCACTAGCCTGACCATGGCGGTCACTCGGTATGCAACCCACTTTACGACCACTCTCCACATCATCTGTTACACACAGTACACCAACCCAGAGATAGATACAATTGTAGATAGATAGATAGATAGAGAGAGAGAGAGAGAGAGAGAGAGAGAGAGAGAGAGAGAGAGAGAGAGAGAGAGAGAGAGAGAGAGAGAGAGAGAGAGAGAGAGAGAGAGAGGATAGTGCAAGAAACATCAACAATAGTCACTCAAGTATCAAATGTGTCCTGTGCGCAGTTACTGGCTCAGAACCGGAGCAGATTTTGATACAGGGTCTCTGTTACACTCTGGTACTGAATCTCACTGTTGAGAACAAACTGATATACTGTGAAGAACGAGGGACATCTGTGAACCACGAAACTCTGAAAACGCAAGCAAACTCTGAACTGCGAAACAACAATTACAAGCAGCGCGGGCAAACTCTAGACTGACTCTAACTCTCGTAGGTCTAACTCTACATCTCTAAATCTAAGTAACTCTAACAAACAAACTCTAAATCTCTAAAACACTAACAAATAAAGCACGGAACATGTGAATATAAAGGAGCTGCTTGCAAGCAGCGCCAGCCAAAGTGCAGCGATGCAAAGAGGAGACGCAAAGGAAACATGAGCGCTCGCAACATACTAACAGCTCCGGGTCACGGAGGAAGTGCAGTGCAGTGACAGGTGCGGGAAAACAAAAGACTGCGGTAGCCGTGACAAATGCATTGATTGGTGAATGACTGAAAACTGACCCACCGTACTGGAGCCAGCGACAAAGGGTATCAATGCACACTGGATTTAGTCATGCGGTCATGCGTGACATACTACACACTGTGTAAGGCTACAGATTCATGCAAGTACAAATGCACTACTGCAGAGATGGAGTATTCCAGCACAGTCTCCCTCATTATCACGAGTCCGGTTAATACATAAACCGTGTTCAATAATAGTACATGTACATATAAATCTTAAAACCCCTGGCACAATGTGGTGTACACGACTGTTTACAGGTCCGGTTAAAGCATAATTCGGCACTTGTTCCAAGCGATCCACACCCTCAGAATGAGATTGTCCATGCCGGAACAAGATCAAAACCCAGAATATCAAGCAGAAAGACGCAACATATTACATCTGAGAATTTTTTTAAAGAAATAAACAATCTATGGTGTCAAGGGGACAGACGTTTTGGAGATTCTCAATTACATGTATATTATATCCAGTTGAAGCACTGACAATTTCCGTTGTATTTAGACTCAAGAGTACCCCGTATCAGTGTGAATCAGTGCTTCTTGCACCTTCAGTTGTAGGCCTCTTACAGGACTCGTCATAAGATAACATACTCGATGGTCCAGAGAACATGTACTCGCGAGGAAGGACATGTAACGAGCTATGCAATTGACAACAAGTAGCAGAACATGAACAACGCTTGCATGAACGCTTGCGCACACAGGCATACAAAACAAACATGACTGTGTAAGCCTTGCGGGTTGCATCATACCTGCAAGATACAAACATGTGCACCCGTGTGCACAGACAGACAGACAGACGGACGGACAGACACACAGACACATGGATACACACACACACACAGATACACACGCACGCACACACTACAGTACCTAACTTACATTTGTAGATAGCACTATCCTTGGCACCGGAGAAAATAAAGCGATCATCTGGAGTTAGCGCAACGCACGTCACCGAAAGATCATGGCCACGCAAGAAACGCACCGATGCTGTGTCGGGCCTTTCATACTGGACAAAGAGATACAACAACGAGAAATCCATACATGCAACAGCAACGTGAGCTACAGGCAATCTTCAAACATACTCAATTTTGGAATGGAACGCTTCCCACTCAGATCCATCTAGTGGTCTGTGTTAAAACACACCACTTGGATACACACACCGACTGGCCACGACCATACACCCTCAATAGCAGTAGCAGTTTCTGTTCGAGTCCTCACCACCACAACAGAGAGCAAAGCATAGTCAGGTGATACACCTGAGCAAAACTAATGAAGTACGGATCTTCTTTTTTTCTTACCTGGTCAGCAACTTTCCTCTGTAGACGACCGGATTGCTCAAGCTACGCAGAGGGTGAAGCAGAACACAAAATTCAATTAATTTTACAGTGAGCAGCAAATAGCAGATAAGGTGCCTGTGTTTCATGTGTACATGGCAATTGGACATCATGTCCACAGACTGCATCACCTGACAAGCACCAGTGGCTGGACAAAGTCGAAATTCTGCCACGAATACATTCATACGCGCGCGCGCACACACACACATGCACGCACGCACACACCGATACATGGACGCTCCGACATAGACCCAGACGCACACAGACACAGACCCTAACAATGAGCCAATGACACACCGGTCCTCACTTGCACAGTATCAAGACACTTACCACGTCTTCATGCAACCGATGAGCGATAGCATCATGGTCAGGATCATCATCCCTCTCTCTTTCTACACAAGATGAACAACATACAAGCAGACTTTCAAGATTAAGAGTTAACCTGGTAAGGCATCGCTGAATTTTTCGAACTTAAAGGTGTAGAAAAATTAGAACAATAGTGGCAACCAAACCAGTCCAAGTGCAGCTATGAGAAGCTGTGGCATGAAACAAGGAGAAAAAGAACCCAAGAGCGTCACCTGGACAGATAAAATGACACCAACAGAGAGGTGCAGATCAAAGCCACTCCAACAATGCCAGTGAAACCGACACAGTTAAGCCAAACGTCAGGAGAGACAGACGTGCCAAAAACAACAAGAGGCACAGAAGTAGTGCAAGCAATGGCGGTGGAATGGGACACCAAGCACTACGCAATATCCCTGCCGTGCAAATTGGGCACTGCCTGTGACAATGCAAACTTATGCAGAATCAGAGGTGGCAGTAGCTACTATTGTTAGTAGAGTTCAAAGCAACAACAGATTCAATACCAAAAACTAGCACTTTGCGCCTGTGGGTGACATATGTTCTTTCATTCTCACACGCGCATAAATGAATGTGCATGCATACTGTAATACTAATAGTGAAATACACATACAGAAACACACCCACATCCACATTTGAATGTGCGAATACACCGTTTCTCTCTCCAATTCTTACCCCGTTCTTCTAGTTTATCGAGGTACTGCTTTGCCAGGCGAACACGCTTATCCTGTGGTGTTTCATCGTCTGACTCATCAACTGCAACATCAAGCTGGTCATCTTCAGCAGAGCTATCAAACAACACAGATGCGCACACAACGCATGGGTGTATGCATAGGCACACTGACCAGCTAAGTACATAACAGTGCATTGGAGAAGTCGTGTCATAGATGTGCTGCTGAGGCAAAGTTTCTCCTTCATTTCTTCAAATTCAACGGAAACTCAGTCCCGGGGATAATCGACAAGGCCAGCTGCAGTGATTTCCTCCTATAACATTAAATGACATGAACTATAATACAAAATGAGACCAGGATGGCCTTCATGTAAAATATTATTATTTAGAAAGCAGAATTAGTTTAGATGGGCGATGCCTACCTCAATCCGGATTCTTCATCTAACTCCTCATTCACCACCTCGCGCTTCTTTTGGGGAGTTGGTCGCTTTCGCTTTGCAGGTTTCTCCTAGATGTGAGATAAAGCGAGAAGGAGCCGAACAATGTAGAAGGGGTAAATCCTTGATTCTGGCTTTCTTTCTTTTGAATGTCACGAAAACTTACATGAGCCTGAGGCTTTCCGCCCTTTCGCTTCGCTTTGGTAGAAGTGAGAAAGAAACTGGACATGCTCGCTTGTGACCAACACCAGACTACTCAGACTATCGGAGAAAGCACCAGCCAAATCAATTTCTTTCTGCAGTCAGGTCTAATAGTAATACATTTTCCCAATACGTATAATACTCTACGTCGCGTCTTTTTTTTTCTCGTAGTTTTTCGTCCTCATATTTTTTTGCGAAGTGAAGCTTCGAACTCGAAGGTCGAGTTTCAGCGCCATTTTCGCCAGGGCGACCAGAATATTGTCGCCATGACAGCATGCATTCTGCTCTGACAAGTGACCTGGTGACATCTATAATATTCTCCTAGATGTGAGATAAAGCGAGAAGGAGCCGAACAATGTAGAAGGGGTAAATCCTTGATTCTGGCTTTCTTTCTTTTGAATGTCACGAAAACTTACATGAGCCTGAGGCTTTCCGCCCTTTCGCTTCGCTTTGGTAGAAGTGAGAAAGAAACTGGACATGCTCGCTTGTGACCAACACCAGACTACTCAGACTATCGGAGAAAGCACCAGCCAAATCAATTTCTTTCTGCAGTCAGGTCTAATAGTAATACATTTTCCCAATACGTATAATACTCTACGTCGCGTCTTTTTTTTTCTCGTAGTTTTTCGTCCTCATATTTTTTTGCGAAGTGAAGCTTCGAACTCGAAGGTCGAGTTTCAGCGCCATTTTCGCCAGGGCGACCAGAATATTGTCGCCATGACAGCATGCATTCTGCTCTGACAAGTGACCTGGTGACATCTATCAAGAGTAGAGAGTCTACGTACATGACTCGTACATAATTACTTGAGTTTCAATACAAGAGTACAGTCATGGTATTGTACTCTTGAGAGTCTTGTTTATACAAGAGGCAAGACTAACTTTCGGCAAGAGTACATAACCCCTGGGGGTTATGTACTCTTGTTTATACTTATAGCTACCATTGCCTGTACTGCTGTAGATCTACCAAGTACCATGTCTACAGACAGGTCACTTCCATCAAGCTGGCAAGAAGGACAAGATTCAAAAAGACTATGAAAACCGGGTTTTCATTGTACTCTTGACTCCATGATCCATGCAGGGAGACGTACATTGTACATGACAACAAACCGTACTCGATACAATCATTATTACGACTCCCTGGTCACTTCCTATCCTTGAATTATGATCAGCAGTGATCCACCATTACTGATGAAGCCGTGATACCAAGAGTACATACATGTACTATACACCGGTAGTTTGTATTATACAGTGCCGTCCCTCTATAATCCGGCACCATTTGTGCCACGAAAATCTGCTGGATTAGGGAGGGTGCTGGATTAACAAATCTGATTTACTGCTGCAATGTGCATGAAGAGGACACTTTGGCTACTGAAAATTGTGCTGGTTTATCGAGGGTGCTGGATTATAAAGTGCCGGATTAGAGAGGAACGACTGTAGTTCATGTCATGTACTCTTGGTGATACTGATAGTTACTCAGTCAATGTACAATCATGTACATGTACTGATGTACCAGAAAAATACCAATTCTGCCAATTATTCTGATGGCATCCTCCGCCAAAGCCAAGGGTATAGAAGTACTGACTGTACACTGTAAGACATGTACTGATTTAGGTGCCGGGCATAACATAATTTCGGAGCCAGGGACCCGACAGGTTTCAGGTACAATTTTGGCCTATGAGTAGGAGCAAGAGTCCATAAACATTGATGCACTCTTGGTATGAGTCAGTACGAACTTGGAATTGGGCTTGTGCGATGTCGGCCGCCAAGTGTCACTTGCTCGTAGACCTACTGTCATTGTATGGCGTTCAAGGCTTGGGGACTGGCTCAGGCACTAGTGTTGGGATTCTCGCTCTAACTAACAGTAACAGTAAAGCTTCGTTTCTCTTCGCCTCCTTGTTCTTCACTTCTTTCTGAGTTGGTTCACAGTGCCACGGCACGATCCGTCACCGCTCAGGTGAACTGAGTTGCTCACACAGATGAGCAATCAGAGCTCAGCTGAGAGCACTCGCGAAAATAATGGATGTGGTGTGTGTCCGGACTTCGAATCTGCCCCTAGCCCTACACATTGTAATAATAATTACAATGTAGGGCTTATGTTGTCAACAATGCTCATGTAAATTGTAATGGAGCTTCCCAGAAGAACCTTGACTAGTTGTACTGGGTCAGAGTACGAGTGCACAATTGCTCGATGCACGACGTGCAGAGCGTTAGCACAGTCATGTACAAAGAAAAGTCGATACATGTACATGATTGTACTGATGTAGTTGATCAAGGGAGTGTACAGACAGTACTACTCTAGCTAGCTGATTGTTGTTATTATATCGCTTTCCGAAGAGGCAAGATGGAAATGTGACAGTATTCCCACCAGGTCACTACAGTCATGCATATTGTAACGTGTTACATGTACATGTAGTTTGCGCCGGAGCAGTGTTGGTTGCTTCGCAGGATCACTGTCAGTGTCACTGACACTGTGTCAATCTGTCCATGATCCAGCCCACCAAAACACAGCCCATGCATGCAAGTGGTGTGGTGATTTGCCATAAAGCCCGCCCATGCTTTTTTTTCTCTTTGCTTCCAAGTACAGTAGTTCCAAGCCAAATTCTGAGCTACATGTACAGTCATGTACATGTACATGTACATGTACATGTACATGTACATGACATGTATGCTGCTTTTGCAATAATGTCCATGAGTCCTCCATTCATTGGTGATAACCACGGTCGGAGACAGCCAACCGGAGGAGGCTTTTGAGTTTTGACTCCCTGATGATTACACAATGCCCCTGAGCTTATTCCGTCTCCGTAGAATACATGTAATACTATAGTCTATACTGAATAAGCTGCACTGCACGTCGAATCATGGCAAATCAGTCCTGGTCGAAGCTGATCTGAGCTAACACAACTTTATCCCTCCCCGGGCCAGCTAATAAACCGAGATAAGTTTAGCTGTCTGACTGAAGACAGTTTGTCTCAGGTCGGCGCTCCATGTGGACTGGATGTCATGTCATTATTTTGATTGACAAGATAAGGGAATGGATGAACAGTCCGCTGCCACGGAAGTTTACGAGATAAAGTCGAAAAGCAGATGCTGGTAGGCAACACAAAATAGAATCATATGACTGCCGTCTCCACAAGGGTTTTATCTGATTACCGTCCCAAGATACGAAGCGGAGCTGAGAGTATGATTGGCTTTATGTACAGTCATGCGAGTTACTTAGTTGGCGAATGGCGAGAACTGACAATGGTGCTTCTGCATTCCCCACTGTACTGCGTCTATCTGTCTCTCCTATTATTGGCAGCTAATGACAGGTACAATAGGTGTCGACTCTCAAGACGATTTATGCTGCTGCCATCACTCTGTGTGTGGCACTGACAGGGGAGACGGTCATACTCGGAGTCAAAGACTCTACCGATGATGAAGTCGAGTAGCTAGATCTACAGCCTGTATACTATAGTACAGGTGTACCGGTAGTGCGGCTGTGTCTGACCAGGTTCCTGAGCCTGAGGTGGTGACACTATTTTGTACTGCCGATGGTAATAATATTGCATGATATATATTTACAATAAAGTTGTGAAAGGTATCATTCCGGCTTTTCAATAATTCAACAATCTCTCCTCCTCTTCTCCGCCATGCGCTCTCAGCCGACCACCCTTAGTAGCCATTACACACACCAACATGTTCAATGAAGGGGTTCGGGTACTTCAACTTTGTTACTTACTGGTACATGCTGTTAGAACTAACTAGTACAGTGTAGAAGGAATACAATGGAGGGAAATGAACACAAGCGCAACCTCAACAGGAAGAAAATGAGCTAAAAT